TGGGGTCCTCGAGTATGGAACTCGGAATTTTTTTGATGGGAGAATAAACAACCCGAAAGTTAAATTTCTGCAAAATATGTGCAACTTTATAGCTAATTGATGGAAAGAAGGGAATGACAACAGAATTGGGACTGAGGGGGCTTCCCATCCTGGCTGATATCTACATGCATTATTATGAATCAAAATTGTTTGAAACTTTAAACTTCCCGGCATGGTTCCGCTACATAGACGATACTTTTACTCTGTTTGAAGGTAATAAAGATGATTTAAATAACGTTCTTTCAACAATGAATTCTATTGATCCTGCTATTCAGTTCACTTCTGAACTTGAGACTTGCAATTCTCTTCCGTTTCTCGACATTCTGGTCACACGTAACACATCCAACTTCAGTACTACGGTTTACCGTAAACCTTCATCGGTTTGCCTTCCACCACACTTTAAATCATGTCATCCGACTAAACAAAAGTTAGCTTCATTTTATTCCTATGTTTTCCATGCTCTTCAAGTTTGCTCCTCCAAACTAGCCCTTGATGAAGAACTAAAGTATTTAAAAGCAATAGCTATTGACAGGGGCTTTTCACCCAACATTATTAATCAAGCAGTTAAAAAATTCTCATCTCAACACACTAAAAGGCACACTCTTGTTTTAGGAGATTATAAAAATTCTGTTGTCATTCTCTTCTTTCCATCAATTAGCTATAAAGTTGCACATATTTTTCAGAAATTTAACTTTCGGGTTGTTTATTCTCCCATCAATAAAATTCCGAGTTCCATACTCAAGGACCCCATTCCGGATATGAATTCCTGGGGTATTTATAGGATTCCTTGCCAGTGTGGTTTAATTTACATTGGCCAAACTAAGAGAGCCTTGAAGTTTCGCGTCAAGGAACATGAGGCATATGTTAGAAAAAAGGAAACACAGAAGTCTTCTGTTGCTCAACATTGTTGGTCCGAAAACCACACTTTCAGTTTTTCTGCTTCCAAAATTATTCAAAAAACATCTTCCATTGGAGAACTGGATTTTCTAGAGGCATTTCACATTCATAAAAATCTTCTGTTCTAGTTAACGATCCTAATTCCAATCCAAATTTGCCTTCGGCCTTTAAAGAAATTATGTTTTAGTTCTGGTTTCACCAACAGATGGCGCCACTTGCTTATTCTTGTCCAGGCTTTCTTATCTTATCTAATCATTATTTCCTATCTTGTTCATTTGCGGTTTTGCAGCTGAAGATGGTGGTTCGGTAAAACCATCGAAATTAGTCCTGTGAAAATTTTGTAAATATAACGCTGATTTTTGTTGTTTGACTTCTGAATTAGTATTTATTCGGCGTGTTATTGTGTCTTAATATGTGTACAATATTGCAATATCTTGCAGTAGTTATATTTTAAACTACTAGAATGTTCAACAGAACTTAATTCAAAACAGAAAAAGCAAATCCGATTTCACTGCGAATTCGCTACAATCATTAACAGCAAAAAATAATAATAAATAAACAACTACAGTTTTCTTACCAACTGAACTGAGATGTTTTCCTCCATCTTTTTAAATGTACGAGAAAAGTCTTGTATTTTCTCGATTTTTCTGGATAGCAAGAGTACAGTTATGAGATATCTATTTATTAAATGTGCGTGCTCCTGTATTTTTAATTTTTCGCCGTAGTTTTCTCTTGAAATAAGTCTCATGCTGCATTGCACGATAATATTAAACAATTTTAATTAATTCTATTTAAAAATAGCTAAATCAAAACAAAACACAACACTATAAATGTAACTTCATGGGTAATAAATTTAATTGCATGCTTGCCTTCTACTTACATTTAATTTGCTACGTAGGTGCTTTTTTGCTATTTAGATATTTGTGCTTTGTGACTTACTTTGGAACTTTTAAAAGAACATTCTTGTGAACTGACAAAATTCGCAATGAAAATTCTTATTTGACAAAGACACTGCCTTATGCACAAGCACCCTGGTGTTTGCACCATTCCACTAAGTTAAATTTGTTTAAAAAACATAAAAATATAAAATTTCAATCTTAAGAAATTTTTCCTTTCCATTATGCTTTTGTCTAGTACCAACATTATTTTCTGTGCATGTAATTATATTAAAAAATGAATCAAAAGTTTTGATTTCAATATTCTTGAATAAGTATTCCTTCAAGTATGAATGTGTTATACTTACTTATTTCTGTAGAAACAATCCATATTTAATGTAACTATTGAAAACAACTTAAAGGCCTGACTGTAATCTACAAAATTCACTAATCTTCATAACCCCTTCACTAATCACATTAACACCTTAGTGCTGTTGTGTGCAACTTAATCATAGTTTTATTGTATTTAGTTATGCTTCTTTAATTTGTTTAATATTATCACTACTGATATCAATCAACCTGAATGTTGATTAAATAGAAAGGAAAGTATTCCTACTTTATGTTTCTTATTGGTGAAACAGCATGAAAAATATTTCTTCCTTTCAGGACAGACAGGAATACAGGAAAATCCCCTGCTTTTGTCTTATTTTAATTTTTTAGTCTTTTTTAAATTTTTTTTAACATGTCTTGTTGATTATCCAAATTCTCAAAAAGTATTCATTAGGCAGTGCACTATGCTGCCAAAACAGTTCTGTGATGTCGCCAAAATGGGTTTATATAGCAACCGAGGTATGTGTGCAAGCAGGATATAACCATTCTGTACTGCGCCATGCGCATAGTTAAAACTCCGAACTTATGATTGGACATATTTTCTGATGATATCATTTTCTCTTAGTGCAATGACGTTTAGGCAGGGTTCTTACGTTTTTTTTTTTTTTTTCCTGTTGAATGATTCATATGAGTGACATGGAAGCGGGAAAATTATCGTTTGTTTTCTTTGAAACGAAAACATTTAGCTGCAGCGTTCTGCAAGTGGCCTCCCGTTTCACGGAATAATAAAATTGTAAATCTTTCAAAGATGCTGTTAATATCAGAAGCAACCTTTAAGGGCTTAGATTTTATTATTAAGGGCTTAGATTATTATCTCGATCCATCTTTAAAGGCATTGTGTGCTAGTAAGTATATTATTATTATTATTGCAATTTTGTTGCATTCTGTTCCTTTCACATTGCAGAAAATCTTTCCTTTGCAGATATTATGTTATTTCCATGTTAATGTCTGTGTCTTTCACATTTCTAATATTCTGTTGCCTTAAATGAAAGAAGGAAGTGCATTCAGTATTGTCACTGAATTTAATGCACGTGTATAAGAAAAGAAACTTCCTTCTCTGACAAACACTATTTTTATGCAAAGTTACAGAAGATGTTACACATTTAAAAATGGGCAATATTCATAAAATAATATTATTCAATTTAAAATACATATATTTCTCTGTTCCAAATCTACTATATTAGTCTAACTTCAAAAATAAATTTTTATTTTTTCAGACTGATTATAAATATTGTGAATTTGCTATGTACTATGTTAGCTTCCAACATCGTTTTTGCTATTTCTGACTTCTCTCATGCTTTTGGAGATTGCATCTGCAGAGAATGGTATATAGGAAACATGAAATAATAAATTAATAATCATTTCATAATATGAAAAATTTTAAATTAGGAATACGTTTATTAAAAATCTCTGCAATTAATCCACATTTATGGAAAAGCACATGAAGAAATAATATTTTTCTCTTTAGGAAAAAAAATGCTACCATTTTTTATATTAAGTTCACCACACTACAGTGTTGTAAGAAGTGTAATCTCATAGCAACAAAAATACAATGCAAATAATAATATTTTCGGTACTGCTATCAAAATGTAAATGAACGGTATGGAGGTGTACCTTCGAGCCCAGGCAAAGTCAAGGCGTTCCTAAGTGTAGAAGAAATAATGTCATCGGAAACCAAATCCAATCATAAGGAGAGATTTTCCCCATGTGCGTGGCGTGGTATAGGATGCTTATATGCGTGCAGGCACAACAAACATACATTTACATCCTAATTTCCACCTTTCAAATTCGATGGTCATTTTTCTTTTTAGTGTGTGTTTTTGCATTGAATACATTTTTTTCCTTGTAACAAATTCTAATGAGACTGTGGAGTTTGCTGGACGATGAAAAAGAAAATGTTGGGGTTCTTCAGAAATATGATTTTTATCCAACAATAGAGAACAAAAATTTCACATTACATTAAGTTAGCAATTGACATTATTACTAATTTAATGTATTATTAGAAAATATATTTTACTCTAATTTTCCTATAAGTAAAATATTTTGTGCTGTTATTTTCCTTGCTTCATAAATTATGATATATTTTTAATTCTATTTATATTCATATTTCTCTATATTTTTAGTATTCTAATAAAATAAAATGTGTATTCAGTTAAATGCTTTTGTGAGTAAAGTTTTAATATTTTTTTCAAATTTTAAACACATTCAGTTAATAGTTTCCTGATCTTGTCAGATTAGTTCCATCAGCCCCTACTTCACATTCCCACTGATGAAGTAGGAGAAAATAAATACAATAGAAAGTAATTTCAGATTTGCTGTGGCTCTTCCCATTATGTAATTTAAGTATAAACCAGTTCCTTTTAAAAAGTTTTCAACAAAGGTATTCCCAATTAGTCTGATAACCATTGTGTAATTTGCTCTAAACAACCTAAAGTGTAGGGTTGATTTTGAATTAAAATCTTTTTATCCATGAGGCTATATTTTAAAGTTATAAAAATTTTTTTGGGGGGAGCCCTACTTTAAATTTAATGTGCTTAATAATCTTGTTTCTGAGACAGTGTCCTTTTTATAATTATGAAACATTTATTTTATAGAAAAGAGTTCTGTATAGTTAAAAAAAATGTTAATTTTAAGGGCATCATATATACTAAGAAGGAAAGCTTGCATTGTCCTCATCTCTTAAAAATTTTAATGCAGTTTGAGACCGTTTAGTTATTTTAAAGAGGTAATTTCTGCCTCAAAGTGTGCGTTTATTTTTAGGCATTTTTCTGAAACTTATTAATTCTTTTTTTTGCAATATGTTCTTATTTTTTTAATATTATCTTTTATTAAAACTAAATCAAAACCTTTTTTTACAGTACAGTGCAATAGATACAAATCCATTGAGCAACTATGTCATGCATCCATTTTGGAACCAAGTTGTTAAGGTATGGTTTAAATTTTTTTTCATTTTGTGATTCAAACAAATTTGATTTTCATTCTTTTTGACTTGTTTTATAAATTTTTCTTTTTTCACTCAGCATTTCAGCAACTCTGTTTCTATCTTGAATAAAAGTAATTTAATAATTTTACACCTAATTAATTAAAATGCTTAAAAGTTTCTTTTGCATAAAAGTCTTTTGCAGTGCTCATCAGGATGTTGTATCTAAGACACTTATAAAGAGCAAGAAGAATTAGTGTAACATGACTAAACAACCTTTCTCTTTAACTGAGGGAGGGAAAATGAGAACTGAAAATTTCTATACAATAACAACTGACCAAAAATTTAAGCACGTTCCAAGTAAAGGTAACATACAAAGTTACTGCTGCCATCTGTTGATTAAAATGTAAATAATATTAAGTATTTTTGGAAGCTACAAAATCATTGAGGATTCTTTAAATAATAAGTGTAAATAAGCAGAAAGAAATTAATAATTTTTTAAGAAAACGAGCAAAATAATAGCATATCAGCTCAATAATAGCTGGAAGTAACTCAAGGAAAATTTGGATATTTAGCAATTCCTTCTTAGGACACAAATTGTAAAGTTCCTCACATCACTCTCAGTTCAGTTAACAGCTGAGTTTCACATCTAATTCACAACTGAACTCCCTTTCAGATCTGTATGTATACTCTGTAGCACAGGCTTTAGGAACTCTTGGAAGAAATGATCCTAGGGCTTTGAAAGTGTGTTCTCACAAATTTTACAGAAAGTGACCAAATGTCACAACCAACTAGATGACTAATATAGTTGCCAAAGCCCCTTAAGACCCAAATTGCCTATATCTTGCCTTCAAATTAAGCTATTTTTGCAATTTCAAAATCGTTGCGCTCAGAATTATACTAATTCTAGGAACCAAACAAACACTTAAATACAAGACATATGACTATAGATTAGGTTAAACTCGAAACAAACCATAAAATTACTGTTCTTAAAAGAATGAATAAATAAAATAAAAAATAAAACATTACAAAATATTACAGCATTTAAAGACTACAGAAATGGGGCGGGGGGAGATAAACAAAAATACAAAAATGGGATTAAAGTATTTTGAAATATTTAAAACAGTGTTTAGCATAATTTAATTAGGAAAGAATTTTGTCAAAAGCTGATAGTAAAGAGGAATTAGAATTGGAATCACAGTTGGAATCATTAACCAGAACCAAAAGGATTTATGGATTAGAAATATGTGCTGGAAATAGATTCTGCAAGCAGAAGGTATTTTTTGAATAATTTTGTTTACAGAGAAATGGAAAAGTTCCCCCCCCCCAGTCATTGATGGCCTGTAGAAGGCTTCTGAGTTTTTCCTAAGGTAAGCCTCACGCTCTTTAGTGTGTAACTACAAGACTCTGCACATTATTATTGTATGTGTAATGCACTGTGTACTGGCAAGGAAAACTGTAGGTGCCCAAAAAGTTTATAGTTGGAATGAAATCCTTTTAAGTATTGGCCCACCAGCGGCCGAGCAGTAAAGTCGCTGAACACTGGTAGTTCGGTCCGAGATTCGAATCCCGCGAACGGCCTGGCGTTTTCGTGGTTTTCTCCATGTGTAACGTGTATACGAGCCAGTTTCCCATAGAAAGTTTTCCACGAAGGCATCCCTCCTCTTAGGCAGATAGCCCTCGAGGTTTTGCCATAATCACACACACACGCACCTTTTAAGTATTGAAGTTTGAATTATATTGGTTGGAGGGGGGAAAACATGAAGTTTAAGTTACAGAAAGTATGTGCAGTTTTATAACTAATCACAGGAAGGAAAGAAATAATTACTGAATTCTTGTAATTGCTTAAAACAAGAACTTTTTTCTTGCTTTGAAATGAAAATTTTTTAATCTGTTGATCAGCAACATAAGATGAGAAACCCTTATCAGTTACAGCCGCTCTTAAAAAGTTAAATTCTTGATCGAGAATTAACTTGTAGGAGAAAATTTTGAGTACACAGAAAATAGAATAAAGAAGCCAACATTCGTTTAACAGAATTATGGGATTTGAAGTGTGGTGTAGGGCTAACTGAATATTTACAGTACACAGTAATACTGAAATTTGATACATTATATATGAACAGGATGTTAAGGAACAGAAGAAAATAAGTGTCTCAAATTAAAAAAATGAACCAAATAGCATTATTAATGGATCACAATTGAAAGAACTATACCTGAATCTACTTTCTGACTGCTAAACTGAGCAAAAGTTCATCAACGTAGTATGACCAAACTGGAAACTTTCAATATGTTAAATACACTCACTTCGAAAAGTTTGTAGGCAACAATTATTATTGGTCATAATAACTACAACTACTTCTACTAGATAATAACTACTACTTTCACTTCACCTATAGTTTCGGTTTAGTTTGTAAGGTTGTCATGCCTGAAATCAGTAAGGAGTTAGTGAGTGCTACAAAGAATAATAAAGATGTCATATATGAAAAAAATTGATTCTTGCTTTTGCTTTTTGCCTTTTAAATTATTATAAAAAGAACTTTCACTACATTTTTGGTGACCTTGGAATTATTGATAAAGATGTCAGAAGGTGAAGAATCTGGGATTAAAGAAGAAATAGCATGGGTAAGTGTGAAAATACCTCCCTTTTTGGGCTGAAAAGCCAGAGATATAGTTATCAAGTAGAAGCACAGTTTTCTATTTGTGGAATAACTGCCGAGGAAACTAAATTCAACTACTTAGTTTCGCAATTGGAAGCAAAATTTGTTGAAAGTTTGTGAGATATAATAAGTGACCATAGCAAAACCAAATATACTGCTGCTAAAGAACATCTCTTGGACACTTTTAAAGATAGTGAAAATAAACGTTTACAGAAACTGCTAACAGGCATAGACTTGGGAGACAGTAAACCTAGTCAACTTTTACAAAAAATGCGAAATCTTGCTGCCGATGGCATTTCGGATAAAGTTCTTAAAACACTATTTCTGCAGAAAATGCCAGATTCTGTGCGCAATATTTTAATCATTAGTGATGAAGATATCGAAAAACTAGTTCTAATGGCCGGATATAAAAAAAGATGTTAAACAGTGGGCCCAAACTTGTATCGAGTGTTAGAAAAATAAAGTAACTAAACGTACAAAATCAGAATATTCTCAATATCAAGCACTAGACGGAAGATTTAGTGTCTTGCACATTGATTTAATTGGGCCTTATTCACCTTCTAATGGCTACACTTATTGTTTGACGTGTATTGATCGGTTTACCTCTTGGATGGAAGTGGTACCATTATCAAATATCACAGCAGAAAATATAGCACGAGCCTTTTATGAACATTGGATAACACGATTTGGTGTAACTTCTTGTGTTATTATTGACAGAGGAACTCCATTCATTTCAGAACTGTTTCAAAATTTGGCTACGCTATGTGGAGTAAAAGTAAACCGTACAACTTCTTACCATCCTCAGAGTAATGGGAAAATTGAGCGTCTGCACCGTACTTTAAAAACAGCTGTTAGATGTCATAATTCTCTTTATTGGACAGAAACATTACCAACAGTTCTTATGGGTTTGCGAGCTGCTCTACATGAGGACTGTAAGTATACAATAGCTGAAATGGTTTATGGGAAAACTATTAAATTACCTGGCGAATTCTTTGAAGAATCAAACATGCCAATATCAAATGATAATTTTGTAAGTAATCTTCGAAATCAGATGGCCCTCTTAAAGCCCTATCAATCGAAATCTAAATGTAAACACAAAAGATTTTCATCGAAAAAGATTTTGTACACATGCTCGCATGTGTTTCTGCGGGTTGACGGAGTGAAAAAAACCTTTGGAGCCCCCATATGAAGGATCATTTTTGGTACTGCAAAGAACCCCGAAATATTTTCTTCTATCAATTAAAAATAAACAAGTTAGTATCTCTGTGGATAGGTTAAAACCAGCTTATGTGTTACAATGTAATGAACTTTTGTCTCCAAAAGTGCTCAAAAGAGCTTCAAAAAGTGATCATACATCTGTGCCAAGTCAGCAAATAGAACAACCTAAAAAATCAACACGCTGTGGAAGACAAGTAAAACTTCCAGTTCGTTTCAATGACGTTATTGACTCTTCTTGAACTTATAACCTCTGCAGCGAATTGCATCCTCTTCAATTCTCATTTGCTTCTGGAAATTAGCATTTTCCTCTCTGTGCCTAACTTTTGGAAGTGAGTGTAATTTGGATGCAGAATATATATAGAGATAGTGGATAAGAATTGGACCAAAACTTCTCATGCCTAATCCTTCAATCTAATGGTACTAATTATCTTGGAAAACAAAATGTGTTTCAGACAACATGAAATTAACTCATCAGTTTCAATAATGAAGGTATGAGTAAAAGGAGATGCCATCATCACACTGCAGCTGATGCAGAGCAGCTGAGCTTTGGTAGCTAAGGGTGGTGTGATACTTTTGTTTACATTCACAGCATGTTACCTTTATAGCAGTTTGGTAATACTTCCACACAGACAGTTCTGCACAAATCGAGAAGCGAGGACACTTTTGCATAAAAGGAACATTCATTTTTGGATGGGTTATAGCAATTTTTATATTGTAGTGGGATATCTGTACAAATCACATCTATGTTATTGTTCGATAACTTGCAACAGCAATTTTGATTATGAATTTGTTTTAAAAAATTCTAAGCTCCTGGACTACAAAAATATAGATTTTAGCATACTGTTTATGTTATATGTAAAGAATGATAAATATCTCAAGGTACCATTAAAATGTTGCAAAAATATAACATACTCTAAAGCTGAATTTCCTCATAACTAACTGGTATGAGCTGAAAATGTTGTATTGGGTTGGCAACTAAGTAATTGTGGATTTTTTTTAGAAAATCAAAGACAATTTTTTCATGGAACTAAATAACTTTATTCTGTAATGTATTGCCCATTTTGATCAATGATTTTGCCATCTTTCAGGCAGCATCATAATCCCACGTTCATAAAACTTCTGGTTTTTATTA